AACAATCATCACACTCTCAATGATCTTTCATGTGACACCTTACTTATCGCTACATGCTGCATACTAATCGACAAAACCCACCCATATGGTCACGAAGACATCCCTCACATGCACGCTACTATACACAGACTGCTGACATATATCCTCGGCAAAGGAAAAAATCCTCAACTTCGCACGACACAGGGAACAATCCATTGTTTTCTACCCGAAAAAAAAAGTCCCCACTCTAAACTTTTCCTCCCTTCCTCACATGCATGACAAGGGCTCCAGTCACAAAAGTCACACAGTCCGTTCTGGAATTAATTTTCTAGCAGAAAAGTTGACCGACTTTTTCGCGCGACGGGCCAACGACAGGCTGCAGCGTCAACGCACACGTACATGCACACCCTGGGCAACGTTTGAGCCACAGGAGCGTCCAGTGGAAAAGTGCTTAGAGTGGGAACACGCGGCGGAGCATCCACTCTGCGCGTATTCGCATACTCTACAAAATGTGCGCGGATCGGCCTAGGCAACTTTCGCAACGACTGCCTGATGGGATATGCGCTGTGTTTGTATATACGTCTCCCCCCCCCCTTTTTTTTTATTATATTATACTCTCACCGGTGAGAAGGGAGGGGGTTTAACGGTGGATGCGAGCAACGCACATCCCAGCCCCTGCCCCAACCCAGCCAAGCATATCTTGTTTGCGCGTGGAGTAGATGCCTAATGCCTAATGGTGTGCACGGCGCAAACACCCTCGTGACTACAAATATGTTTCTGCCCCAATAAAAGTACATATTGCGTGCGCCCTTATCGCCGTAAGGGAGAAAATTGGGATACGCTGGAGTGCCCTCTCAGATACGGATACGGTGCAGATTGGGACGGGTTGCTGTAGCCGCTTGCTGCCGCGGCTGAGACTCGGGCGCCCGTGGCTGTCCGTGAGATGGGCAGGTGGGTTCAAGCTGTCTGGCTCGGGGTTTGTGTGGCTCCGATTGTGTGTGCGTGTGTCGGATTGATCAGGAAGAGAGGGGGCGGGGCGGGGGGAGGTGAGTGGTCACGTTGGAGCTTGGGATTGGGTTGCTTAACGTTATGATTACTCGGGCGAAACACGGAGCGGATGATGACTGGGAAGATGTTTGATTCCGTGTCGTCGCATGTATGTTACTGTAGTGCATCATTTACATGCACGCAGAGTTAGAGACCTTGAGTTTCATTTGTTGCAGACTTGTTACGGTTTCTGAGTTGGGAAGCCCGGTGCGGGATCATACGATGCGATGCGATGCGATCGATGGCCTTTGCTGTTGCTGAGTTCCACTTTTGGTTCGTAAATCACAAAAGTTCTGGACCAAAAAGGACATGCCATGATCTGACCGTGGCCTATGCATCTCCACATTCCACATTCCTAAGCATCATGAACACGGAAAGTCACACTGCTGATCTCCTTTCCTTTCTTTCCCCACGTCCACGTCCACGTCTACAATGGGGTTGACTGCGATAAAACCGGCATTTCCCTCCGCATCCGTTGGCACTTTTTTTGGCCAAAACAAAATATCACTCCATCGATTCAACTGCATTGAGTGATGATCAATGCATGTTGGAAATCGGCATCCGGTATATCTTTCGTGGGGATCTGCGCGGTGAATAGATACGATACGCCCGTACGCCTCACAATGTCCGGATCCCGGGGGAAGCCCTTGCTGCAAGCCTCGACTAACTTGCTTTGAACACACTTTTAATCGCACTCACACACATCCATAGAGAGACACAAGACAGGATAAGGACGGTTTGATGATGCGTTGGTTTCGCCCGGTCACCGAAACAGAGACACTGTTTGTGGTGAAACGAGCACGTGTCTAGCTCGAGGTGTCTAGCACGCCATGTGCATGAGTGAGGCAGGGCAGGATACCTTCTCCAATTGCAACACTGGTCTCAATAGTCAAACAAACCACGCCGATGGCATCATTTTTTGGTATCTTAGTTCCTTGCGAGCACTCCTTCAATGCCCTGTTTCGGCCAACAAAAACCAAGTTTGTGCTGTTTTGTTGGTTCCTGCTTTTTGTTTGTTTTTTTGGCCCAAACAAGGAATACCTTGGGGTTTTGTGCCTGCCTCGGACAGACAAATAGGCCCCCAGATCATCAACGTCAGCACTGGGTCCGCACTTGTGTACTGTGTGGAGAAACCCTGGAAGAGGAGCCATCGATCAGTATTTGATGTTTGTTTATGTGTGGCGTATTACGCCCGTCACTTTTGGCGCGTCGTTGGTGCCAATTGAGTGCGTTGCTTGGGATAGTGACACGATGACAGGATATATATCTCAGTCAGCGCTTGGTTATCTGATCTTTGAGACATGGCAATAAGATTTCTTTAATAAGACTGTCAGCGTGCAAGTAAAACTAGCACGTATATCATCGCCCATTTCGTCGCGTCACTGTATTTGATTCGCACGTTCGGACAACTTGCTTTGCTCGGACGGCTCACTGACGGAACATGGGTGGGATCAGCTTGGATGCATATCATCAGAGGTATTTCAATATCTGCGAACATCCTGAGCTCTTGATTGCGACATACACACTTGAACGCAAATCGCTGTAATGCTTCGCAATGACTGACATCATGTTCGAGATCAGGGTCTCGCATGCCGTTATCGATAAGCTTGAATCGAAGATGCGACAAGGATTCTCCTGCTCGGGGGACCGGCGCCCTCGCATACCGTATCGCGTACCTTTCCCTTTTATCATCCGACATGATCGACGTCCACGATGCGCAAGGTCTGATATAACGAGAGCATATCGCACCGCGTTCAGGTTCCATGAGTGAACCACCAACGGAACCCACGGATAAGGCTATGATGCTCAAAACTCGTCATGTCAAACGATCGCACGATGTGTCGGTCACCAGAGCGATCGGAAAGACTCGTTCCCTCGACATCCGTTCACTCCGTCGTCCGGTGCCGCGATGGACAGTGGCATGATCACATGACCTGGACCGAACCACAACCCGGGCCTTCAGCCCTACCGCTCGTCGGCTCGGTCGGCCACGCAAAACCCGAGGCCCCTTCTATTCTGTGACCCGTGATCTGTCCATCTTGCCCAGCAGATTCCAGAACCTGTTCGGACGACACGGACCATGACCAGAACACCTCCTCGCGCCGACCCGCGCCGAGGTCTTGTTTCGCTCAAGCGCCGCACAGAACTTTTCCGTTCGCATCAAGACTGACATAATCCACCCAGGGAAAAACTTTTGTTCTTAGCACGGAAAAGGCTTAACATGGAAAAATATGCTTTCTTCTTTTCTTCTTTCCTAGCTCGGAAAAGGGAACCCCTGTTGTCTGGACCACGAAGACAAATCTCAAAACCATCCGTCCACTCATTGAGATCAGTACTACTCAGACCCGTCAGCCTCGCTCTCGGGAAGAATTCCCGCCCAGAAGTTGATCGCCGGTTTCACGGCTATGCCATACCATACTCGTTGTTTTCGGGATTTCGAGAGATTTCCATGGAACAAGTTCGATTCCTGCGGCTTGGTAAAGGGGGGTGGGCCACTTTACTATTACAGTAATGGATAGCCTACAAACATGGCCCAGACTGCGCTGCATTCAGCATGTCGTTTTTGTCAGCTCGCCCGAGTCTCGGGTGTGTGTTGTGCCCCCCCTTGCCGCATCGTGGGACTTGGGCTTGGGCTTCCTTGGTGTTGAAAGCGTGTGCAATGCGACCGGGCGGGTACCTCTAGAGCACAAAGCTTGCATGGGACAGACGCCCACCGCGGGAGGAAAATTCACATGCATGCATGGTTAGTTTACTTAGGCACTAGTCGCCAGCTCAGGGCTGTTGCATGTGGCATGCAGGTGGCTCGGCAACCTAGGCAGCGAGCGGCGGTCTGTTTCACGACAGAGCTCGAAGGTTGCATTTGCAGTGCTGATGCTGTTTTTGTTGACCGCCTCAGCTCACATGGCGGCGATGGTAAGTTCTTGTCTTGAGTGCCTTCGTGGCGTCTCGTTTATGCAGGAACACCACTAGGTTCTTGCGGCGTAGATTGGCTTTTGGTATGAGGCTGGACTACTGCACTGCCAAAAGCTTTTTTTTGTGTGTGCGGTTGTATATCGCTTGGGTTTATTGTGTTGAGTAAGTGTTGTAGTTGTTTGGCAGCGGGTAGGTTGTGTTGTGTGGTGCTGTGACTGCAGTAGGCTGGTGTGTGGTGAGCGGGTCCGAGTGGTGAGTTGAGCTGCTTGTATTATTCGTTGATATGGGAGTCTCTCAACGATCCATTGATAGTCCGTACATGTTGCAGAATCATCTGTCAGTAGAGGACCACTGCACAAGAAATGATTAGGCCTCGATATGGAAGACTCGATCGTGTCGTGTACACATATGTAGCCATGAATTATGTGTTATGTTGAATGCGTCGCAGACTTTCTCAGCTCGATTCGATCATAATATCAATGATTATGCCGACTGACGATGTCCTGTGGCGATTCCATCAACCCTCTTGAGAAGCGACTCTTTTTCACAGCCTAGACTGGAATTGTTAGCTCCCTATGATTGAAATGATGAGATGCCAATGGCAAAACGTCGATTGAGAAACACTCAGAGCATGTTATCCATCTACAAAAGAAACTCCTTGTCAAAGAAAATCACGTATCGTAAATACAGTAGTCTAGTATAAGACGAGACCGTCAAGTCCGCATGCAACCAGAATGCCCACTGAACCATCAATATTTCCATCCCAACACAGCATCCTCCTCCCAAAGACTACAACAGTCATGCTCCACTATTATGCCCCCCGTTAACTGTCCTTGGAAAGTGCAATGCTTACTCGTCGCCACCCTGCCACCATACCATATTAATCCCCGGCCCACACACTCATGTACTAGCGCTAACCCCAAAGCACAACGATCCCTCGGCTAATTCATTACACACCCCCACCCCACCTCCACTCCTCACACAAAACACCCTCTATCACGTCTGTGCCTAAACAATTCACTCTATATTATAACTATTCCCAAAAAATGAACATCCACAACGCCCGTTTGGCTTAGGGGTACAGCGTCGCACTCGTAGCAACTAATATCTGCGTTATGCGAAGATCCGCGGTTCGATTCCGCGAATGGGCAAATTACGTTATTTTTGGAGTTTTTCGTGTCCTACCTAGCCTTGAAGTTTGTTGACATGGAAAGAAAGACTGTTCTTCTTCTTATTTTTTTGCTCTCGCGTGATTGTAATGTGTGTGTGTGTGTGTGTGTGTGGTGCATAGATAGATAGAGGAAGGACTTGGGATGTTGTTAGTTGATTGGGATCAAGGGAAGTGGCGTGTTGCGAGGATATTTGGGTCAGGATAGATTTATTCATGTACTTGTTGAAGAACGAGGACGCCAGAAAAAGGCATAGGTAGTGTAGCACGAATATATTAATTAGACGTTCTACACAGTACAACACGCGGAAAGACTAACTGAGCAGTTACAATACATTGAAAATACTTGTTAGAGCGTATGGGTGAATGCAAATTGCGCTTATTTGCTTCGTTTCTATCGTGAAACATGCGAGGTAAGATGATGTTTGTGACGATAAACTTGCTTGTGTGTCACACTGTAGCTTAGGCTGTTTGAACAGGACATACAGTGTTTTAAATAACTTGTGCGCAGGTACAACTGATCTCAATAGCATTTTGAGGAGAAGCAGAACCGCCCTGGCCTCCTGAAGATGGAATTTTTTTACTCTTCGTCTATAGATCCTAACAAATGTATCGTACCCTATTATGACCACTAGCCACCCAAAACACCATCCATACCTGCAAAGCCATAATTTTCAGCTTCTGGTTACTTACACTCCACACATTCAACTCCCACCTTCCAACTCCGCAACCCCCCTAACGCCCTTGTGATCAACTGGTAACTCGACCGCATGATACGGCGCTTTCTCTCTCTCGGGCAACTCCGTTGGATGGGTGTATATCTCCGCGGCTTCTTGGCTCGATTCAGTCGATGTTTCGAGTTCTTCTTCTTGCTTCGTTGGTGCAGTAGTGGCGGCAGTATCATCATCTTTTGAGTTCTTGGAACGGTGTAGATAGAGGAAAATTCCAATGGCGATCAAGAGAGCGAGGAGCGGTAGGGTAACACTTAAAGCGATGATAGTGCTGCGGGGGTCTCCGGTATCTGCGGCAGGTATGGTGGAAGCGGAGGGTGGAGAGCTTGTCGAGGCTGACTGGGATATTGTCGATGTTTTAGTAGGATTTGTGGATGATGACGACTGCGCCGATGAAAAGCTTGATACGATTTCGCTAGATGTAGTCTTGACTACATTCATAAGTCAGCAAAAGTTCCTTTAAGAAGCAACGGTGCATTCACCCAACGTACCTGGAATCTGGCCTCCGCTGAAACCCGCCGTAATTGGGATCTCGCAATACTCGTGGAATAAATCTCTCGCTTTCATTTCCTCTGCCGCATCATTGGGACACGCTGTTCGCACGTGTGCGCCAATCATGCTATCGAATTGCGTTGAGCTCGTGTAGCAAAAACAAGCGAATGAGGTGGTTCGAGATCCGTCGCCACAACCGTAGGACATGTCGCGGACGATGGTTGAGATTTGTTGCTCTGCGCAGGTGCTGAGGATGCCATAGTCGGAAAGTTGATTGATGAAGATTCGGGTTGCAATTATGGATGTCATAGATGGTGACGGGGAAGAGGAAACTAGGGTTTGTAAAGGTACAGTGGTGGACATTGTTAGATGTGGGGAAGTCTGGTCTCTACAACGAGATGGCTGAGAAGTGCACAGTCACACGCTGCCGAGTGTTTCAAGGAAGGCTATCAGTTGTGAAAGCTTCGAGAGACGGAAAAGGCTCGATATCCCAGAAAATCAACGAGCAGGAGGCTTGACCAAACTCATGGTAACACCTGCCCAGCTTGTCAGACCCAGCCCCCACCACCTCTATGCATCGTTGATCCTTTGATACTGCAATCCTGCAGCATGGAAGCCCGTCCCCCCCCTTTTAAGGAGGATAACGCAGAGCCGGGTGCAACCCATCCAGTAAGGAAACGAGCAGTTTGTCGTCCCAACAGGCTGACAAGCGGTCGGCATGGGTGTTGTACCGGAAAGGTGATGAATATTGATGGAAATCGACGTTTCCGGCGAGTTAGGGGCATCGGTATGCGGGGGCGGGCGCCCTCTTGCATAGCAGGCAATTTATCTCGCAAGGCTGAAACCTCATGTTTATAAGACTGCAGCGAGCCCGAAATGTTTTGAGGGATAAAGGCAGTTTCGGTGGGGAGAGGGATTAGAGTATGGAGATTTCTTGACGATTTAAATCGTTGGCAACGTAAAATAGTAATCGAGATGGACGTGAGGGACGATATCAGTCTCTTGTTGTTGCTAATTGCGAAATCCTTCGGCCTCAGCCTTGCGCCATGCTGATCTGGATTCAGCCCCGAGGACCGGCATCAATCTGCACTTCATTGGACCCAGTATCTGTAGGATCATGTCGGAGTGTCGTTTGCCCCACAGCTTTTGCTTTTTGTGAAGAACCGCATTGTGGTACTTTGGCCAAGCGCGTAAACATTGTCGCCAAGACAGTCTCCTCCTTCAGTGGCCGTGACCAGGTTATCGGGATCATTTCGAAGAAATATATTCAAGATCGTCAACAGCACTTTGACTCTTTCCGCGAATACCGAGGGGATCCATGGGCACGATTGCAGCTTGCTTAGCAGGTGTGTGACTGCTGTTGGATCCAGGCTCGCTGTTCCACATGCCAGCGCAATTTTTTGTGCGAAGAAATGTGAAAGTTGATCCGTCTTAAACGACGTGCTGGTTCTGAAGGGGTCATGGGCGCCTAATAATCCCATGGTGAGTGTCCAAAGATAGAGGTTTGAAGCGTTCGACCATTGCGACAATGGTATTTTTTGGAGACTAGAGCGAAGTTTTGTAACGGCTTTGGACAGACGGGATCCGAACGATGCCGAGTTTGGCTCCGTTGCATGCGTCATGAAGATGAGCAGGGCGAGGCAGATGGTTTGGCCAATGGCATACATGTCGTCTTGTGGACAGCGGTCATACCAGTCGAATAGTCGGTACATCAACATACTTGCGTGTTTCTGCAAATCAAGCGAGTCCATCGAACATACACCTGCGTCATACCACACTGTGAGGTCTTCGGCAAATAAGACAATGGTGCGGATGATACTCAGGAGTACATGACTAACGCCAAGATCATGACACTGGCGTGTGATGTGGTCGATACGATTGGAAGATTTCGATAATGTAGCAGAGGACTCTTCAACATGGCCGCTGACATCATGTAATACAGCGTATGGGCGTTTGAAGGTCGCGATAGACTGCGCGATGCTGTGCCTGAGATTTGAAGTCAGCATCATTCACTTCACGTAGATTGAATTGTTAACAAACATGAGTATGCAGACCTGCAAACAGCGATTTCCATCAAGAGCTACAAGACCTCCTCTTTGTTCAACCATCGCCCGAAGCCCACTAAGGTGTGCATTATTTGCACGTACACTAGACGTTCGGTCCTCGCCCTTCTTTTGAGGATCCGCAAGAACAGATTCCTCAAGAGCCAATAGTATGAGGACCGCGGTGATCGTGATGTCCTCAGTACTGTACTTGTGGTTAGTAAGAAGCTTATTCACCGCCGACACAGCACGCCACTTGTAGACTTCGGAGTCAAGTTGAGCAGCTCTCATTGACGTGGTCAGTGCAGCATAGATGAATGGGGCCCCAATCGGACTTTGAATGCATGTAGCGATCCAGCGCGTGGCTACTGCCTTGGAAGATTGGTGAGGATCGATCGGCAGAAGGCAAGGTGTCGCGAATTGGACGACTAATGATGCATCAGTAACAGCGGGCATGTGAGCTCGTAATCGTACATTGATGGATGAGGCCTTCTGCGTATGCGTCAAGGCGTACCGCTAGGCAGTCGAAGGATGCTGAGAAGCCAATATTTGAATTACACTGATATTTCGCACTCAACCGTCGTACTGTATCGCATGGAAAGCTAGTGTCGTCGTACTCAGCATGCGGGCTGGCGTAACTTGATAAGGAGCTTTCGTACGCCCGATCGCTGTTCCGGCTGGACACCACGCTCACACTCCTACTATCCGGTGAGGAAACAACCGACTGGTCCTGCGAACTTGGGCAGGTGTTGCATTCCGCGTGAGGTGAGCAGCCGCAGAGTTGTACTGTTTTTTTGCGATCGTCGGGTCGGGATGGCGGTCGTCGTGGTGCTCTTCCCTGTACAAGTTTTTCTGAGACCGGACTTTTGGGCTTGGTACTCCAGGGTTTTTTGTTGCGAGCGCTCTTCATCACGAACGATCTGACAAGCTTATCTGGCTTCGCATTGACGCCGCCATTGCTGGCATCGATGAACATGAATGTTGTGGGGCGCACATCCAGCTTATCCAGAGGCGGCTGCTGGCTATTGCCGCCAAGGGTATCGAAGCTTTTCGAATGCTGCGCAAGCATCTTGACTCAAAGAGGTGTGGTGGAGTGTATAGCTTTCGGTACTATAGCAATTGTCTGGTGGTTGAAAAGACTATCGAGGACAGACATATGTGTGACATACAAAAAGGCGGACGACTGCTCGTATGATGCCAGCAGATTGCTAACGGGCGCGAGAAGATGTGATGTTTTTATCCATGGGTCTTGTATCGAAGGCCATGCGCTAACTGTATCGGTGACGTGTTTTCGATGAATAAGGAAGGGACGACCATGCGCTGAAACCGAGAGCACGCGGACTCACACGCGGACTCGACCAACGGCTCGGTCATAGGCGAAGTATTAGTACGACAAAGCAGGCCCGATGAAAGGCCCAGGTGTTATCGGTGTCCTGGGTCGATCGTGTTGGAATGGGGTTACACCCAGGTAAAGTGGGACGTCGATCAAGTCTGTATGCGAAGCACGACCAAGCGCTAGAACATCGACGTTGGATTTTGAGAGACTATAGCCAATTTGTCAATAGGGCACTGCAGGTGTAGAGAATGTCCTGAATGGTTGTCGGCATACGCGAGCTCCTCGGGTCCTTGAGAGGAATGTAGCAAGCTCATACCTGACAGCTGAGATTAGCTCTCTTGTACTACCACTGAGACAGAACAACGGATACGGCTGCGGCTGC